CGGGCCGCAGCCAGCGGGGACTGGGAGATCCACGTCTACAGCTTGAAGCACTTCAAGGTAAGAGCCTGCGCCGGAGCGTGCTGCGGGATTGTGCTGGTCATCCCTGTGCCTTGGAGCACTCCCGGCCATGCTGGGAGGACACCGTGGGCTCTGCGCAGGCTCCTATCCTTGGGAGCAATTCCTGCATCTCTGGAGCAGACCTGGGGATGGATGTGCAGGGAGGGAGGGCGAGATCCCAGGAGGGACGGGGAAGAGGCTGTGGTGTGTGAGGTACAGGCCCTATTCACTCCCCTCGGGTTTTGTTCTCTTGTCCCTTTCAGCATCACTGCGCGGTGCCCAAGTACAGCTGTGCCGTGACTGCCCTGGCCATCCACCCTCTGACCAACAACCTCGTCATCGCCTACGCAGACCAGCAGGTAGGAGCCCTCGCTGCTCATGGGTGCTCCTCCTGCCCTGCTTGGCCCTGGAGATCTTCCTTACGTCTCTGTTCCTGGATCGGAGCTTTCCAGCTGTGCTGCCCCGCAGCAGAGCTGCATATCAGGGCTGAGAAGGGTCTGGGTGCCGGAGCCCAGCCGGCCGTGCTGGCTGTGTCCTGAGTGCGCGCTGGTGCGGGGCAATGTCAAGGGGAGGCCTGAACCTGGTGCGGGTTGGGGCGAGGGCTCCCTTCCCTCCTGTCGCGTCCCCAGCAGCGCTGGAGAGCAGGGCGGGCGGTCAGGGCTGCCCTGTCCCCTCTCCTGCCCTGCAGCTGTTCGAGTTCAGCATCCCCGAGAAGCAGTACACGGCCTGGAGCCGCACGGTGCAGAACGACGGGCTGCACAAGGCCTGGCTCGAGAGGGACTCGCCCATCACCCACATCGCCTTCAACCCCAGGAACCCCTCGCACATCCTGCTTCACGACGTCTACATGTTCTGCGTTCTCGACAAGTCCCTGGTGAGTTTGGCTGCCTAGGGAGGAGAGGGGAAGGGGGTGCCCCTGCAGTCCTCTGCGGCTCTGCCATCCATACGGTGCGGAGCACTGGGGCTGCCTGTGCCCACGTGTCCCAAAGCGGTGGGAGTGCTGGGCCAGCACCAGCCAGGAAAAGGAAGATGTGGGATGCGCCAGGTTGTTGGTGGGGGGACCACAGGGAGGCCATGTCCCTGGGACCTGCTTGGGTGGCTGTTCTGCCTCTGTGCGTGGCCCTAAGGAGCGCGGGGACAGCGGGAGGTGGCGGTGGCTCTGGGCAGCTGTGATGTGCTGTGCGCTGTCCTTGCAGCCCCTGCCCGATGACAGTGCCTCGCTGATGAATCAGAGCACCCTGAAGCAGCTCCCGGCGACAGCCAGGAAGAGACAACTCCACGCTTTCAAGATCTGCAAGAAGTTCCAGGTGGGTGTTGGTGTGTGTGCTGCCTCTGAGGAGGGTGGTGGGAAGTGGGTGCCCTCGGCCCGTGCTCCTGCTGGGCAGGATCCCTGCACGATCCCGACGCAGCCTTCTGGAGCTGTTTCCATCGTATAGCAGCGCTCCTGAGGCTCTGCGTCCCCATCACGGTGCTGCCGCTCGCTGTGGCCCCGCGGGCTCTGATCATCCCCCCAGCTCTCTGCAGAGCGTGTCCCCTACGTGATGTCCCCAGTTAAGACCAAGGCTACACCAGCTGCAGGGCAGCTCTGTGCAGTTGACCCCAGCAAGCTGAGGCAGAGCAGGGACAGATGTTGCTCTGTCCCCCGCAGGGCTGTCATCTCCTGTCCCCTCCTTGTCCTGCAGCCTCTGCTCTTCGCGGATCTGCTGGACGAGAACTGCCTCGTGATGGTGGAGCGGCCCATCATGGACATCAAGACGCAGCTGCCACCACCCATCCAACAGAAGAAATTTGGCACCTAAGAGCAGGACAAGCTGCTCCTGCCACACAGACTGTGTACGTTCCTTTCCTAGGACGCTGCAGTAATAAACCCCATTGTTCTGTAGGCTGCGGCCTCGGGGCTTGTCCTTGCCCTGTAGGGTTCCCTGTTCTCCAAGCAGCAGCAGCTCCGCTTAGCTCTAGCCTGGGCCTGTGGAGCAGGAGCCAAGGGCCCCAGGGCCACCTCCTGTCCTGCTGGGGCTGCTCCCTGGCAGCACCTCCAGGGACCCTCTCGCCTCAAGAGGGACAACTGGGACCAGGGGTGGCTCTGACAACCACAGCTGCCCTGGGTGGGCACAGCCTCGCGCTGTAGCTGCTGCCTCAGCCTTGGGGGAATAGGGAACATGAGCAACAGTCAGAGCCGGTGTTGGAGAGCCGGAAAGCTCCTGGCAGTGCTCTTGTTCCCAGCCTGGGGCAGGGTTCGACAAACCCTGGGTGTAAATAAAGGTGGCAGGATATGGACATTGTGCCCGGGGAGCGCTGCCCTCGCGCTGGTGGCCCGCAGGGCTCCTTGGCACCATCACGCTCCAGCAGCCCCTTGCTTCCTGCAAGGTCTTTGCTCCCTGTGCGAGTAGTTCCTTAATGGGCCCTGCTGGAGCAGCGTGAACGGACTCCAGCGGCAGGAGGAGGTTGCTCCTCTATGGGAGAGGATTTCCTTGCGGTGTCCCCTTGTGCTCCAGCAGCTCTACCTGTGCCATGGGTGGCTGCTGTGCTCGCACCTCGTCCTCCCCTTCCACCCGCACCCCTGGCCCTGCAGGATTCCCTGTGCGAGTAGTTCCTTAATGGGCCCTGCTGGAGCAGCGTGAACGGACTCCAGCGGCAGGAGGAGGTTGCTCCTCTATGGGAGAGGATTTCCTTGCGGTGTCCCCTTGTGCTCCAGCAGCTCTACCTGTGCCATGGGTGGCTGCTGTGCTCGCACCTCGTCCTCCCCTTCCACCCGCACCCCTGGCCCTGCAGGATGGGGCGTGAGGTGGGAGCGGGGCCGGGGATCGATTCCCCTCTGTAACGGAGGTGTCCTCAGGCGCCCGGAGAGCCGCTGGTTACAGGTGCCCGTGTTAAAAATAGCGGGGCCTGGGCAGGAGCCGCGCAGGC